GAGCAGCACGAACCTAATTGGTGCTATCTTTGGGGCTTTGCATTTTTGTTTTTCTCTTCTTAAACACTATTATTGCAATAGAAAACTTTAGTATAACAGTGAGTAGTAAAACATTTTCATATTAAAGTGGTATGGAGTAATATAGAATTCATGTGTAGTTTCATCCTAGAAGATGTTAGGGAACTAGATAATTGTAGAATTAATAGGTGACTGCAGATTTAAGTAAATGTCTATGGTTTCTTTTTGAAAATTAAGTTAACCTGAATAACAATGTACCTAGATCTTCAAAAGTCTTGAAATAAAGTTATGGTTGTATCAGTTTCTTTTTATTTTTGTTCATATCATGTTCAGTTTCTCTTGTATTTGAAACTTGTGTTAACCAAAGATGCAGTTCAAATGATATTTACACATCTTTATAGTTATAAAAAATGCAATTTAAAGTCATAATAAAATATTCTTTTTGTAATAATAGTATAAGGATAAGAATGTGTAAAATTAATGTGAGCTTTGAGATCTGAATGAGACTTTAGATATTTTGTGCTGTGAAAATGTTTTGATGAAACTGAAGATACACATAAGAGTCTGAAAACAGACCATTTTGTACAGTAGTTTGTTATAAGTGTAGTGTTTCTTTTTTCATTTTACTTGGCAAAGAAGTGACTAAGTTGCAGGTTATGAGGTGTACAGTGTACACAAGTTAATAAATAACCAGTATGCTACAATCACCATACATGGAGCTGTATTTATCTTAGTGGATTCAGCTTAACAATTATGCCAGATCCACAGGAGATTACAATACAGCATATGGTACTATATGGTTACTGTAAGTTTTGCCAAACAGGCACATTGAAGAATCCAGTTTAAAGTTGGCTGTCATTTTATATGCTTATCATACAGTTACCTTTATGGTACTTTTTATCCTGCTGTAGTACATGCTCTTCAGATGCATAAAGTAGAAAGTATTCTACTTTGCTGTGCTTGTTTATGATGATGTGTTGTGGCTCTATATACCGGATAGTGAGGTAACCTGGAAAGGTTTTAGAATACTTTGTAGTGCAGTATGGTAATGATATGAAATAAAGACTACAATAAATACATTTTTTGAAAGCTATTATGTATTAAGTAATTTCAAAACAAAACTTGAAGTATAAGTAAAAGTATGACAGCATTTATTGTAGTTTGTTAAAGTTACTATAAGGGGCTAAGTAATGACCAGCATTGAGCATCATTGCTGAAAGAGTGGTTGGTGTTGTTCTGTCAAGAATTTGTATTTGTGTAGTATACAGTTTTTTTGTATTGCATATTCATGGAATCATTAATATTTAAGATCTTCCTGAATTTTCTGTTATTATCCTTATTATTGTTGTAGGCCTTCTCTGAACTAGAAATGAAAGTTGATTCAAATTTGCTTTCTGAAAAATATGGTAACTAATTGACAAATTGCTCTATTGTTCAAAAATCTTTTCATGCTTCATTTATTGTCTCTTAATTCATTGTATGTAATGTAGCAGTAGAAGGATAGATTAAACTGTTGACTTTGTAGACTTAAATTCAGTGTTGTAAAGTGTGATGATCATTTTAAGTGGAATACATCTTAGGAACTGAGAAAAGACATTTTTTATGCTGCAGTAGTGGCCAGTGGTTCTTAAACTTAGGGGTAATTCCACCCTTCAGGGTGTCAATTTTGACTCCAAACTGTCTTGGGGAGATCATATCCTTTCTATTAAAGAAAAGCCTGCTTTCACTTCTGACTCATAGACTGTCTCATGTATCCTAGGGTTCAGACTGCAAAACACTCCTCCATCTCCACATTACCCAATTCCTCTCCATTGTTGATTATGGCTGTCATATATATTATTCTGCCTCTGCCTCCCTTCTCATACACTTTGACACAATCCACCATTGTGGTCATCAATTAGCCCTAGGCACCTTATGGTCCTCTACAGTTGAGAGCCTATATACTGTCACTTTCTTGACTTGCACATATTTCTAATCACTCCTCCAGTACCCATGTCAATACAGATGGCTCTAAATCCACCTCAGTTACTGGTTTCGTCATAGTCTTTCTTTCTCACACACATAAATTTCCCCTTAATATGAATCGAGAGTCCTTACAGCAGAATTATATGCTTTCCAATGCATGTGTTCAATCTCTTCCTAATCCTTCACCATCTTTACTGACTCATGCAACTCAATATTAATCATACAATCCATACACCCTATCATCCCTGTAGCCCATATGATACAAGACCAGTTGTTTTATCTGTCTTCACGACAGAAAGCAGTGTAGTTTTGCTGGATACCCAGCCATGTCAGTATCCCTGGCAAGGAACAAGCAGATACCTTGGCACAATCTGCCACTTTGTCCACAACCTGGCTTTTCATACATTCTAGCCACCAACTACTACCCCCACTTCAAAACTTGCCTCTATAATTATTGGCAATCTCTCTGGTCAGGTCTGAGACTTCTATCTCCCCTTGTTTGGCCCTATACCACCAGAATAGATACTGGGACTCTTCCCCTGCCTGTTTACAAATAGGTCTCACCTGCTTTATACCTCATATCATGCTCCAAACCACTTCTATGCTTCTCATGCAATGTTCCTCTTTCAGTCCCACATATCCAATTATCTTGCCCTCACTTTACTGAAGCTCATACCCTCTTTGTACTATCTTTCCCTGATCCCCTAACCAGGTGAACATCCTCACTGAATCCCCTACCTTTTTAATTGACAACCTGTTCTCCTTCAGATGCATAAATAACCACCATTTGATCTAATCACCCTTTGTTCTTAACCCTTCTCCCTTCTATCAATCCCTACTCTACTCTATCTATTCCCCCCTCTTTCTACTACTTTCACTACCATACTAACTTATAATGCCATATGGCTGTTGAAATCTAAAACATTTTATTCTGATAAAGAACTCCTTTAACCCAATGCCACCTGGGAAAATGAATAAGAAATGGGGAAAATGCTATGCTCATTTTCTATATTTTTTGTAAAATGTCTGTGTACATAGATGGCTATGCTAGTGGTTAGCCACAAAGGAGTCAATTAGTAGACCTTGTGACCTTACCTGGTTTGAATTGGTGGGAAAAATGTATTTTTTATTAGTGCTATGAATATTGATAGTGTTATTTTTTTATAATTACTATAATGTTATAAACATTAATAACAGCAAAATAAGATAACATAAAATATTTTCATTAATCAAAGAAAAGGGTAAACTGGCAAGACAGGCCATACTCGTAATTGGCTCATTGGTCACTTAGTGCAAGTGTAGCCATCTATGTGTAAAAACAATCAAACAAGTAACTCACAGTGGGCATGGCACATACATACACATCATGCCTGTCGGCATTAGGCTAAACCCCTCACTAAAATATTTTATCAAAGTGCTGTATGACCTTTGATGTCCAACATATTTATTTATCGAAAGCATTAAACAAGGAGCATCATTGATTTCCAAGGGGGGATGACCCCTTGGGAAAAAATAGGAAGATAATATCATCTTCAAAATCTAAGAGGGAATTTTATTCATAGATGAAAGGAGGGTGTGGAGGAACGGATAAATTCCTAGAGGAGGCATGGTAGCAAAAAGATCAAGAACTATTGGTATTGGCTGTATCTTAGTGACCATTTGGTGATGCACCCCCCCCCCCCCTGCAAACACATACATGACATAGCATCTTTTTATAGTTGACTTCTCTAGTTCAGTCCACACACATACACACACACACACACACACACACACACACACACACACACACACACACACACACACACACACACACACACACACACACACACACACACACACACACACACTCACTCACTCACTCACTCACTCACTCACTCACTCACTCACTCACTCTCTCTCTCACTCTCTCACACTCTCATTCACACATTACATTATATATACCCTCTGTTTTGTACACATGTGTTTCTTCCTCCCCCCAAAAAAAAAGGTATATATTTTCTTTGTTTCCATACAAATGGTTTCCCACTGCCTCTCTAATTGACTTTGATACTGTTTTCTTTAAAAAGAAAGACATATTTTCAACAAAAAATATCATCATGTCACCTTTCCATCAGAATTTCTTCCACGTAATCAAATGGAACATCTAACACCAAAAGACAAACTGGAATAGAAAAGGAGAACCAAACATTCCAAGTACAAAACTCAAAACTTTTTGCATTTTTCACGTTTGAGGATATAATCACTGATAATTTATTACATATTCTGTGATATAACACTTTGAATCTAAGCACTGCCTTCCTGTTATGGTGAGATGAATAGGGTGAATACATGGCACGGTTGACAGAACGGTGATGTGATGAAATGGAGACATGATGAAACAGTGCCAATCGGCTTTTACACAGATCTAGAATGGTGCATCTGTATACAAGAGAACTAATGACTTGCTTATTGGTCTGTCTGACCCTATGTGTCCAAGGACTGTTTTGATTAATTCAGTGAAATATCCATGAAGGAAGGGAAATAACCAAATATCAGGCTTCTTCAATCATGTATGTTTGTATAAAGTTAAGAAAATAATTATTGCTCTCTATGTATTTATCTACATATGCATTTGTATAAAACAAAAATATATTTTTAACTGGTCAATATGTGCCAGGCTATGACGCTAAGTTGATATACAGACTAGTTCCAATTAAATACCATTGTTTCTTGGTTGCTGGTCCACATCTAAAAGCTGGAAAATAGCTTGGAACACTTTCAACTATTACAGTTGCAAAGTGAAAACAAATGTAGTTGTCTCTTTGACAAAGACAGATGCACAGGAGAGTGGGAACACCTTTCTCTATTAATAAAGTCTAATTCATAGAAATTATTATAGAATGACTCAGGTTACAGAAAATAATGTAACACAGAAGTTAACCATTATTGTATTACTTAAAAGGAAAATTCAAACTGCATCTTCTACCATCAACAATATATTATTCTGTACAATAGTTGAAAATCATTGGCAAAAATCTAGTTAAATAAGATTTTATACCTAATCCTATCACAATTATTCATTACAAAAACTACAGTAAAAGAGTATTTTGATTTTGAAAACTGCAGTAGGTTCTTTGCACTTAAAAGATACTGCATTTTTGCATTATGTTGCATTGCATTCAGTCCTCTGTATCTTCAGACAATAGGAAGACTGACAGATTAATTTACCTAAATGCCATACATAATAGACTTTATACCCTAAAAGTGCCTTTTAAGCTAAACATATTTCTATGTTGCCATTGCATTAGATTTTTTTCAGCAGGAAGCCTATTGAAAACTGTAGATTAGTCACTATATAAACTAAACGAACTCTTTTAATTAATAATTTTTAGTCCTTCTAACACTTTATTAGCTGCTCATGGAGGGGAATGTAAACAGTCAGTATAATAGACTGAAGAAAAGGAGAAGCAAAAAGACTGGAGGAAAAGAAACAAAGAATTTAAAAAGGCAGTGAAAATTAATATTACATACTTTCCTTCTAATGTAAAAATGAAAAAAAAGGAAAGTTGCATGTGTGTGTGTGTGTGTGTGTGTGTGTGTGTGTGTGTGTGTGTGTGTGTGTGTGTGTGTGTGTGTGTGTGTGTGTGTGTGTGTGTGTGTGTGTGTGTGTGTGTGTGTGTGTGCGTGTGTGTGTGCGCATGTGCATGTGTGTGGGTGTGCATGTGTGGGTGTGTGTGTGGGTGTGCGTGTGCGTGTGTGTGTGTCTACATGCATGTGTGTCAGTGCAATTAATAGACACATTATGGGTATGTGGCATATCTGATCAGTGTTTTTAACAGACATGCATAACAATATGCAAAGCAAAGAATTATGAGCATTAGACAAATTTCGATTTTTTTAAAACCAAAATCAGGTTAATGAAGTTTTTTTTTTTTTTTAATAAACCTTGGTATTCAAAACAAACAAAAAACATACAGGAAAACAGCTTCTACAAGATTTATTGTTTGTTTAGCATTAAAAGTACACTTCCTTACCGAATTTACATATATTCACTAAAAAAATAGAATCTATAAATCTACCAAATATGGAACATCAGCTGTCATTGCAAGCACCAAATGAAGAGTAACAACAAAATTGGCATATAATACTGCAAAGAGCAGTCATTTATAAAATATACAAGGTACTGTTCCAATTCATAACTGACATAAGAGACTTTCTTCCAAAATATTTCATGTTAAAAAAACAACAACAGCCAGATTATCCATAAACTTTTACCAAGATAAAATCATTAGAACTTAAGACTCATACAATCAGTTAAAAAATAGTAATAAAACAAACCAAACAACTGATAACAATCTGCCAAAATGTAGTGACAAATTAACACACATGGAATAAACATTAAAATGGTTAGTTCAATTTTAGTGTGTTACAGTTTCACTGTAAAAATATTTTCTTGTTTGGTAAAGTTAATAATATATGTCAATAATATCATCTTGAGCTGCAGATGCAAAACTAAAATCTGTTAAAACATAAAAGGAAATATTAAAGTATGAGCTGCAGATGCAAAACTAAACTCTGTTAAAACATAAAAGGGAAATAACATTAAAGTATAACTGTTAATGCATAACATTAATGAGATGGCAAATAATGGAATACTTTTGTGCTATCAACTGGTACAGAATGGAATACAATTTCATAAAAAAATAAATGGAAAAAAAAGTGCTTAAAGCCAGAACTAAAAACAACTCCTTGTACTTTTTTATCAGTGTTTGGAAGACAGAGAATAAGTCCCAGATCACGATGCCATCTTCATCTCTTCAAGGGCTGTTTCCTTTAGTTTTCGTCTAAGGATTTTTCCTGTTGCCAGCTTGGGTATCTCATTGATGAAAATAACACCGCCTGCCAGTCTTTTATGAGGTGCCACATTTTCTTCAACATACTGTGCAATCTCTTCTTCTGTCTTGGTTGAATTTTGTGACAGCACTACATAAGCGCGTGGTACTTCTCCTGCTCTTTCATCTGGGATACCAATGACTGCTACATCAATTATGTCTGGATGGTCTCTTAACAGGTCTTCTAGTTCTGCTGGTGCAACCTGATTAAGAATAAAAGAATAAAAATGTATGCACACACACAGACACACACACACACACACACACACACACATATATATATATATGTATATTTATATACATACATATGAATATATATATACATATATATAAATACATATATATACACACATACATATATCTATCTATCTATCTATCTATCTATATATATATAAACACACACACTATATATATATATATATACATATACATATATACATACATACATATATATAATTATACATATATATAGGTATATATGCATATACATATATATGTATATATATACATAAATATATATGTATATGTATATATATGAATATATGTATACATGTATAGATATGAATATATGTATACATGCATATATAGGAATATATGTATACATGCATATATAGGAATATATGTATACATGCATATATAGGAATAT